TCAGCAGGTCAGATGGGCCTGTGCGGGCAGCTGCCGGGCCGGGCTCAGCCAGGGGCCGCCGGGCAGACGGCCGCTGTCGGCAGGAGGCTTCAAAGTGCCTTAGGATCTGAGTGGTGGAAGAAGGGGAAATCCGTGAGGGCCCCAAGCTCCTTGGGCATCATGGGGGCCCCATGCTCCTTGGGCATCATGGGGACCCCATGCTCCTTGGGCATCATGGGGGCCCCATGCTCCTTGGGCATCATGGGGGCACACCTCTCCCCACGGCCCTCCTCAAGGCCGCTGCCCAGGGCAGGACCAGCTAGAGGTTGGAGCAGGCCACTTGCCTGCTCACAAGTGGTCTCATCACTGTCATCCCACTAACTAGAAGGCCACTGCTTAAACAGCGGTCACACCACGTGTGCCACCAGACGCCTGCATACTGCTCTCCCACCTGTCACATAAACAGTGTGTTCCCTGCCATGAAACCTGCTGTGTACAGGGCCAGCACTGGGAGAGGCAGCCACACAGAGGGACCCGGTGTGCCTTGAGCCTACGCTTTTTAGAAATGCCACTGTGACACGCCCCTATGGTGTGTGCCTTGCTTGTCGTGGACCCACTGACACTGACAAAGGACAATTACAGACTGGTGACTAAAGGCCTGAATTTTCAGTGGCCACAGAGGAAATGGGAAGCAGCCGAGGGATGGCCACAAGCAGTGGAGGCACAGGGGCCCAGCTGTGGGAAGAGGCCACAGCCTGGGGACGCTCCATGCGGCACCCCAGGGGACCTTTGCACAGCTTAGGCATTAGCGAGAAGGGTGCCATTTCTGCCCTCCAGGAGCTGGGGACCTGGGGGCCAAGCGCAGATCCATAAGCTGTGACACGGGCTAGAGACCAGTGGGATAAATCCATCTAAGCAGTCAAGGAGGGCTTCCTGCAAGAAGCTACACGAGTCAAGCTGTGTGGGAAAGGAAGCTGCCCGCAGAGAGGGGCTGCTGGGCAGTACGGCGGGCCAGCTTGGGGTCCAGGACCAGAAGGGCCAGTGGGTCTGGAGAGCTCCGGGCAGATGTGAGGCGAGGCTCTGCCTGCTGTTCCAAGGGCAGCACAGGACGGGCACAGGAGGGGCGTGTTTGGGGAAGGCTGGTAGGACAGGGTGTCCCCGCACCCACTCCGGGCCCCAGCTGCTGCCCACCTTGGTGGCCTTGTGGGTCACGGGCCCGGGGCTGCCTGCGCTGAGATCCTGCAGCCGCAGCCGGGCGAGGAGCAGGATGTGCTCTTGGGGGAGCAGGTCCGTGCACCCCAGGGCGGCGATGGCACCCAGGGCTCTCTGCGGGGCAGTCGGAGATCAGTGGTCCACCCCAGGCAGGAGGCCCATCTGACTGTCCCCTGGGGCAGCCCCACTGGAACCCTGTGCTCATCCCCCCTCCCATCGGTGCCCCCCAGAGCCCCGAGCCCCTCACCAGCTGCTCGCATGCGCTGGGCGCACCCAGGTGGCGGATCAGCAACTCCAGCACCGCCTCGCAGTTGAGCAGTCCGCACCTGCGGGAAGGGGCACCTGGGCACCTGGGCAGGGCAGGCGGCCCAGCCTTTCCATCGGCAAGCAAGGGGGGCGGGAGGGCGGGGGTGGGGGGTGAGAGTTGGTGGGGGGCTCACTCTTTGATGAAGTGCTGCGCCTCCTCTTGGCTCAGAAAGGCCCGTGGCCCCTGTGTCACCGACCGGACCAGGCTCAGCTCCTGCTGGCAGTCACTCAGGGTCATGGCCTCGACCCTGTCGGGGGGCACGTGGGCATCAGGGCACGGTGGGTCAGGGCAGAGGGTG